TAATAATATTTGAATATCCACTTTATTTTTTCTATATGCTTTTCTACTTTAATAAATGTTTAGAATTAATAATGTTGCTTGAACAAAGAATGAACTTTAAAAGTAATAAGTGCTTTATAAATGTAATAACACTATTATAGTTCAATTACTTTTATAATGCAGTTAGTGACTAAAGTGTTATTACTTTTGTAGTCGTAAGTTTATTGTTTTTGTTTTGTTTTTTGTAACTTTCTCGGATGCAAACTTTTAATAACTTGCTCCTTATAAACAAAGTACACAGCTTTGCATGAACTAAAATTTTAAAGACATAATATTTTACCAGAGTTTGCAAAGCGCGATCGTATAATTTAAGTCTTAATATAAACTTGTTACATTATAATTATACAAATTATTTTACAAACAGATGACGATACATATTTTCTTTTTCCTCTTTAAAAGAAAGAACACATAAAATATGAGAAAGTCATCCTTTTTAATGCTTAAAACCATTTTTTTTTTGGTTTGACTTACTGAATTTTGTTGCCGATAATAATAACCACTAAGAAAAAACAAAAATAAAAACACACAAATTATTTAAACTATTGTTATTGTTTTCTATTTAAGTTTACTTAATTTCTTATGTAGTTATTAAATTTACAATTTTTCAGCAACACACATAATAAAACTTGCGCAAATGGCCGTGATCACGTTATCTAATTTGAAAAACGTTTTCGTGGTCGTACAAGACGAAAAACCTCACACCTTTCCAGGGAAGGCTTGATATCAGTTTTTGGAATCAATAAATCAACTCTGTGACAAATCAACTGCTAATACGTCTTATCTCAAATTAGGTTGGTTTGATGATTGGTTGCAACACAACTCTTGCTCAGTGAGAAAAGAACAGTCCAATCCCAATGAATGCCTTGAAACGTGTCTGATTGCAATGAATGCATCAATGTCCAGACACAGTTAAAAGAAGAAAAAACATCTCTAAGTTATAAAGAAATAGAAGAAATCCTTGAGAAAAGTGCAGATAAGTCAAGCAGCCCAGTCCAAGTTTTCACTTCCTTCCAGAAAAACAAAAAACCAGATTGTCAACTGTTGGTATTCAAATGGATACTACAATGTTAACAAAACCGTTTGCTGATATCTCAGACCAATTAGACCTCAGCATAGGAGGTTTGTGATGTTTGATGAGGAAATTGAACAATCTGCTATGGCATTGAAACTGTATGACACCTAAAGAAGGGAAGAAATGAAGCCTGAAAACTGTCTTTCCCAAACATCAATAATGACAACACCCTTCCTTTTGTGCTTTTAATTGGTCCACATTCCTGGGTACTTTTTAACCTAATCAAGATGACTGCAAACCAGGTAGACTGGATGCAATTGCCTGAGTACTGGATGAATATGAAAGGTTAAAACTATTTAAAAAATGTTGTTAAGTACTGTCAAGTTGTAAATGACTGTGCTGAGAGAGGTGTAAAACTTATACAAGACTACAAAACCAAAGTCAAAGACCCTGCATAGCTTCAACTTTTACTTAAAATAGTAAAGAGTCATCACAAACAAGTTATTTTTTAAGGACAAAAAGAAAACTTAATGATCCAGGGCTCGAATTAACACAAAAAAGTCTAATCCCGGTAATAAAAATCTAATCGTGATAAAAAATCCCCCCTCATCCTACTTTTAAAGAATATTTATTTGTTATTGTAAAAAGCTATAAAACAAACTGCAAAGTTGTTTTAACAATATAAAGAGTTTAAGCGAATGTAAAACAAACTTGTGACGCTATTTTATTGCTGTTTTATATAGTTTATAACCTTAATAACATAAAACACGTTTAAAATAAAACGAATTAAATAAATAGAATTGTTCTAATTAATAAATTAAATCAATATTGTCATAAAACTTTAAACTTCTTATTTGCGTAAAAACTGTAGACAATACTAATCTATTATCGAACAAGTAAGATGATGGAAGTATAAAACAGATGGAAGTTTATCAAGTCATCTCAAACTTCAAGTCATCTCGGGAGTATTCTTGTAATTGACAACAACAAAACAAGCGACAACAACAACAACAAAAAAAATGAGTTTTACTGGACAAAAAACAACAAAAATTCACTGAATACTCTGTTCATTTAATGTAAAGTCCAAGAAAAAGTTGTTATTTGCCATTTCATTATTGCCATTTTTAATGTTTTTAATTATTGGCGAACTGTCAAAATACTATTTTTAAATTTTTATGAACATAACTATTTGCGTCAACATATAAAGATTAAGTGTTTAAGTACAGTCTTGATGTTGTTTTCTTTTTGTTTAAAATGCAAAAAGTTACAAGCATAGTCTTAAAGCATTTCAATGTAGTTGAACTTCCATCTGTTTTATACTTCCATGGTAAGATAAAAACAAAAGTTTCTTGATCTATTGTATTATTAAAAATTTAAGTATAATCAATTTTTTCATTTTAAATGGTTTTTAAGTTGATACTTTCATTCAATTTTTTCATTCAAATTTATATTTTCTTATGTTTAAGAATATAATATGCCAAAATTATTTTTTTTAGAAAAAAATGTCACTGAACAAATATTTATTAATTTTAAAATAAAATTTTTATAATTTCTTTTTTTTAACTGTGATCACTAGTTCAATGTTTGCAATAGAATTCTACTTTTTAAACTATTTTCAAGAAACAAAATATAACTATTTAAAACGTTTACAATTCAAATAAAACTCTCTTCCTCATTTACACTATGTTCTAAATCTGATATTGTTACTGTAGCTAGATGTACGTTTAACTTTCAGCAACAACTCTTGCTATGTTGGTTATTATGGACTGGGTATTATGGACACCGCTGAATTAAATTTATGATTATAATATTCTTTAAAATTTTTCCAATTTTTTCAATTTTAAATTTCAATCTCAAAATTATTTGAATTAGAGAATTTTTGAAAACTAAAATTCTTTTGTTCAAATAGATTTCTTTTTAAATAAAATTCCTTAAAACAACTTGCGTATTTATAGAAAATGTGCGATCTTGATATCGCTTTAAATAAAACATAAAAAAAAGGTATTGTGTTTTTTATATTCTATTGGAGATTTCTTGTTAAAATAATTTTTAGTTAAAAGCTTATATGTGTTAAGCTTATATTAGATATAAATAGAAACATTTATATAGCTAATTTTTGTGAGTCTTTGAGTATATTAAGTAAATTTAATAGAGTAACAGTAAGTTACTGCAGTAACTTACTGTTACTTAACTGGCTGTTTTGATTTAGTTTAAAGGTAAATTTAGTGTTATGCACTTTATCCATTCAGTAAATCTAACTAAATATAACTTTAAAATAATATTGGCTTCCACAGATTTAAAGTAATTTAAATTCAAAAGCGCTTTATATTGAATAAAATCTCTGCATAAGAGAGCAAAGATTATACTTCTATTCAAAAGATAAACTTAATGTGACATACTTTATGATCCCTAATTAAAAACTTAGAGAAAAACATTACTTTTAAGAAAGGCCAAAAAAATGCAGAATTAAAAAAGAAAAGAAAAAATTAAAAAAAGAAAGAAAAAACAAATGGAGAGAATAAAAAACAAATTGCGAATTAATTATGCTTAATTCGAGCCCTGTGATCATTTGATTTTTTTTTTCAAAACAGTGTTAATTGTATGAATTTTACAATAATGGAAGTTAAAATGCTTAAAACCACGTGACTATTTATTTATTTATTTATTTATTTTTTTTTGGGGGGGGGGGGGGGGAGAACTTTAAATTAATTATTTTCAAGTCAAATTTTTTATACAATATAAATAAGATAGTAAATATACTGTGTGAAAAGTTGAAGTTGCTACAAAATATATTTGTTAACATTTCAAGCAAAAATACTCAAAAAAGACAGTAAAAAAAACTTTTTCAACTTAATATAGGTAGGGGGACCATAAAATTTTTATATTTTCAAAAAATACTTGGAACTTTTCATTTTTTTCTTACTCTAAACCGCAATTTAAAAGTTTGCATGATAATTCTGAAATTTTGCGGGAATGGGACACCCTAAGGTGGCATGCATGTAGATTATTATTAAAAGAATAACTTTGATACAATCTTCCAACATTTTGATTATGGATTATTTATTTCTCTTATATGAAAATATACTTCTTACCCTAGTTCTCAGACTACTTATTTTCTTTCTAGTGCTCCCTCAATCAACTTCATTCTCCCTCAGCCAACTTAATTTTCAGACCAGTTGACAAGGTGCTAATAATCTCAACCAACTTTCTTATCACTAGATATATAGCATTTTTGTATAACATTTTTTACAAACCCACAATTAACATCGTATTAACTTCCACATAAACATCTTTTGATTTCAATTAACACATGATGAGGGAATTAATAAAAAAAAATCTTTGAAAAAAAAGTTTGCTTTTTATGTTAACTTCCTTACACTACCTAATCTGGTGGTGCAAATAAGCCATGCACCCTCTTGATCTTAGAGGAGTCTTTTAATTAGCCTCTAACCAATCAAATTTTTTTTTAGTCATTCAGCTATTCCAGTTTCACTTCCATGCCCATTTTGCACCACCTAATTCTCTTTTTCTTAAAAGAGGTTTTTTTTTAAAAGTTGCTCTTGCACAGCTAACTGTTGCTTTAAAGATCTGATTACATGACACTTTATCTCTAATTTAATAAACCCTAATCCTTTATTTGTTCCTATAAATTTAAATGCAGCTAGTTATTTAGCAATAACACAGAGAATGTGGCAAATGTCTTTAGTTTAGGTTTTCTTTTTTTGTTACTTAAAAAAGTTTGATAAGATATTAGTATTTATAATTTATTGATAAATTTCATTGTCAATCATTCATTCACTACTCATCTATGTTATCCTCGATATGCAATATATATTTTAAGTTATTTTATATTCGAGAAAAGAATGAAACAACTTTTTGTACTAATGAGTAAATTTTGATTTTGTTACTACATAAAGATGACAAAAACTTCTTAAAAAATTAAAAATACCTTTATCTTGCAAAGCTTTTGCAAGAGCTTGTGCATTTTTAATAACTTGTTTAGCATACTCAGCAAATTGTGGCGTTGCAGCTTGTTTTAATGTTACTGCAACAGCAGCAATGTTATTGTTGTGTGGTCCACCTAAAAATACAATAACTATAAAGATACTATTAATAATTGTACAAATAAATGTTATTCACAAAATATAATGTGCATTTACAAATTTTGTTTTTATTTTTATGTTTTTTAAATGTGCATAAAACTTATAAAACCAATTTTGTGCATAAAAAAACCTTGAAGAGTAGGAAATACTGCATTATCAATTCGAGTAGCATAATCATACATTACAGATTTGCCATGCTGATCTTTAAACTTCTCCCCAATCCTGTAAAATATTAAACCAGACCGTGAACCGCGTAAGCTCTTATGAGTTGTAGATGTGACAATATCACAATGTTGGAATGGACTAGGTATGGCATTAGCAACAATAAGACCACTATAATGTGCCATGTCACTCATGAGTATTGCTCCTACTTCATCACATATTTTGCGAAATCGTTCATAGTCTATAATTCTTGAATAAGCACTTGCACCAGCAATGATTAACTTCGGTTTGAAAAGTTTTGCGTTTTCAAGTAACTTATCATAATCAATCAAACCAGTTTCAGGATTCACCTTATAAGGCATTGATTCAAAAAAAATAGAAGAAGCTGAAATTCGTTTCTTTTCTGTCATGTATCCGTGAGTCAGGTGACCTCCATCTGGAAGGTCTAGACCCATAATGCGATCATGGGGTTGCAATAAACCAGTGTATACTGCAAAGTTTGCTGGGGAACCAGAATAAGGTTGCACGTTGACACCCCATTTAGTATTATCAAGCCTAAAAAAATTTGTTTAATGGTTAATGTCATACAAACACATTTGTTCAAAAAAGGTTAAAGTGCTTCTGTACATAGGTGTTAAAACTTTCCTGGTAGATAGGATCTTTGATGAAAAAAAGTGTGATGCAATTTTCTTTTACAACTTAAATGAAGCTGAAGTTTTTCGCATTCTACACCTCTCATTGACAGAAAACTCACTCAAAACTGAATTGTTTTATTACAAAAAAAAATAAAAAAAAAAAAAAAAAAAATGTTATGATGAACTTTTATCTAAACATCCTTTAAAAAGTTAAATTTATTCAACATGAAAAGTTAAAATTTTGATCAATATTTCTGCCAAAGTAGGAATTTCAACTTTCTTGAAACTAGCACATAAAATCTGCTGTTCCACTAGCAATAAAATTCATTTGCGCTCCTCACCGTCTTGAGTGAGAAGCTCGAATTATTTGAAAATGTTTAATTCTAAAAGCTTGAAAAATAGATGAGCTTTTGAGCAATGTCTATTTTTCTCTTTAATAGTGTTTGAAAATTTATTTTCCCTATGAGATACCTATCATTTTATTATACTATTATTTATTTTATGAGATACCTATTATTATAGATATTTATTATTAAAGATATTTATTTTCCCTATGAGACATGTGAAATTATGACAGTCAATGCTCCTTCCCCCACTTTGTTGAAAATGTGATATCTTTAATGAGAATCAAGGCATTAATTGGAGCAATAACTAAAATTGAGAAATTTCCAAGTCAGATCAGGATCATCATGATCACCCTGCTACTGGGTGATCATGCTCATCCTGATCCTGTAATATTACTATCATGTAACCCTGAGCAACACCTATGCTCGAGGGAGTTATTTAACCAATTTAAAAAATGACTAAAGTATCAAAAACTTTAAAACACAAAAACAATCATCATCACCAAGTTCTCTAAATATATCATTCACTAATATTAGTGGTCTTTGAAATAACTATTCTTCTGTCGAGTCTTTTCTTTTGAAAAGTTCATCAGACCTACTTGGTCTTTCTGAGACTAATTGGAATTCAGCTGTCTTATCTTGTGACTTTAGTGTTGATGGTTATCTTCCTTTAACTTGTAAAGACTCCAATAGTCACATGCTTGGCCTGGGCATTTACATTTGTAAGAATTCACTAATTTGTCAGGAAACTAGGTTTGAATCCACATATTATTCCTTTATGTACCTCTGCTTAGCACCACTTCACTCTATCGCCTTTCTCTTTGTTTCATATCATTCTCCTTAATCTCAAAACTGCATTCTTTTTTATGTTATTTCTGATCAAATGACCTAGCTCTTCATCTTTATCCTTCAGCCAATATAATTGTTGTTGGTGACTTTAATGCTCATCACACTGAATGGCTTGGTTCTAGTGTCAGTGACTCATCAGACACTAAGGCCCACAACTTTTACTTTTCTCAATCTCTAACACAAATACTCAACTTTTTAACTTGCTTTCCAGACAAAACCGAATCACTTACCTTCTTTACTCAACTTGTGCATTGTTTCTGATCCTAGTCAGTGCTCAGTTCCTTAACAGTAACCCTTAGGTGCTTCTGATCATGACTTGATCATTTTAAAACTATCATCAAATTCTTCTTCTTTTTTTTTTTTTTGTGATGATTTCATCATCAGAATCTCCCTATCATCATAGTTCTTACAACTACCTTAAAGCTGGTTGGGACTCTTTCCGTGATTTTCTTCAAAATGACCCTTGGGTAGAAATATTTTGTTTCCCGGCTGACAAATGTGCTCTTTTGTAACTTCTTATATTCAGACTGACATGGAACCTTATATTTCCTCTCAACGATTTCAAGTCAAGCCTCACTCCTCTCCATGGTTTTCTTCTCATTGTGTTGGTGGAATTTCGAACCATAACTATAACTTCCATATTTATTGCAAAAACAACCCTACAAAAAAAAAAAAAATAAATAAATTTTTCTACAACTCTATAGAAAAAAAAACTTTTTTTTCTTCTCTTACTACCATCCCATTAGTCTTCTCCCAATCATAAGCAAGGTTTTTGAGTCTTTAATTAACAAAAACTTAATCTCACATCTTAAATCTAATAAATTACTTTCTAATTATCAATATGCAGGGGTCTAAATAAGTGCCAAACCATTGTTGATTTTTGCAGTAAAAATGAACAATAGTTGGTTGCCCTCATATAGCAGGTCTCAAAAATGGTCTGAGGGGCGACGATGTCCGGCACTTATTTCAACCCCTGATATGAGTTTTGATCTTCTCGTTCTACTGCTGATTTGTTAACGATATTAAGTGCACTCTTCTTCGTATCCTCTAACTTCAGAAGTTCCTCAAAGTTCTACCCTTGGCCCATTACTTTTTAAATTTGCATTAACAATCTCCTAGAAATTCTCACATCTAAGATGGAATTGCTTGCTGATGATACTCCATTTATCGTCTTGATAAAAAGCTAACACTCTCTGATTGCTAGGAAAGGGCATTTGAACTTGAAAAGTACCACATTTTGCTACAGAATAAGGCTCTCCGTGACTAGTGAACTTTAACTCAGATTAGACTCATTTTTTTTTCAGCTCTATTATATATCAAAAAAGTCATTTTTTTGGCTGTCAGAAATTTCTTTTTTGATCCTAATGTTCTTACTGTTGCACAAACTTTTATGTTTGACATTGAGAGGTTTAAAATTTTCCAGACAGATTGTTGGAGTAAGCAGAATTTTCCTCTAGTCTTTACAGAAAACAATCTTTTGTGTGCAAAAACATTAAAAGGTTTTGATTTATTAGGTTTAAATCTTTTACTTCACTTAAACGCAAGTTATTCAGATCTATAAGCATTATAGATAACTTTTTTTTCTTCCTCTTATTGATTTTTTACAGATATATAAATAATAAAATATGTTTGCTAGATTAAACAAACATAAAAAATAAATCAAATTTTGCATTGTGATTAAAATGCAAACCACAGTATGCTGTGTTTAAACTATTTCAAAACTAATTATGCATGACCACAAATACTTTAGAAACATTTTGATTTATTGAGACTTATTTTTAAAGCCTTATATAGAGAAATATAAAACATAGAGAAAGTTTTCGAATTTATATATTTTTTCAGCTAATCATTATCATAACAATCTAGATCTTCCTATTTTATAAACAATAATGTGCTTGATGAATCCTTCCTCTTCTAGGATTAACACTTACTTCCAATCTTTCTTAAAAACCATATATCGAATCGATTGTAAAATTAGCACCTGCTAAAGTTGCATTTCTTTATCATGCTCGCCACTTTCTTATTCCAGATTCTACTCTTTATCTTTATAAATCTTAAATCTGTCGTTGTATGGAATACTGTTGCCATATCAGGAGGGGATTTTTGAATGATGCCCTTTCTCTTTTAGATTAGGTACAAGTTAAGTTAAGTTGTAGCAAAACAAAATCTTTTCTACTTTTTTTTTTCTTTTTTTCTTTTACTTCACCTCCTCAAGACCGAGAAGGCCACTACAGACGAGGAGGCTGCTTGTCTTGTGAACCTTAACCTAATTTATTTGCAGGTAATTTCAAAGAGTTGTTTGATTTTTATAACTTTAATTTCATCTACTGCTACTATCTCAAGCTCTTGAGAAAAATGTTTTGAGGTAACGCCTTAGAAACCATTTTAGAATTACTTCCTATGGATTTTCTGCAACTGGAAAAGTTAAAATCTGCATCTTTTCTATACCTTTTTTGTTCAGAATTTATGATTAACACCAAATCTTCCTTTTTACTTCATTAACTTCCTGAATTTGAAAAATATTACTTTCTTATAATTTTTTCTGACCAAGACTAAGACTATGAGAATACTACTTGTTTGTTTCTATCCCAAAGCACATCTTTCTAGTAAACTTTGATCAGGTAAGAAGTCAACATCTTCCTTTTTTGAAGCTGTAGAACAACAGCAACCATTTTGACCACTTTCTCTTGGAATTAATCTTGTCAAGCTATTTCACTTAAATTTTTTTTTAATGCTGAACATTCCTTATAGAAATGTACTACTTTATTACAAGCGTTTAGTCTTCCCACAAATTTAGTGGATTTTTGTTGCAAATAATTTTTAGTTTATCCACAACATCATAAGCTATAGGTGAACATTTTTCTGACTGCAGAATAGTAATCTCATGGTGTCCATTCTGCTGGAAAAACAGAAAGAATTGAAAAAGACTGTTTTCTAAAAACATGCTAGAAGAACAGCTCTTTTCAGTTTTTGCAGCAGAGTGGAAACCCTGGATATTGAATCTGCAAATCTTATAATTGGTTATCCATTTAGCTATTTTTATGTTATTTTACATAGTTTATATGGATGCGTTGTTTGCTATTTTTTTCTGTGATGATACTCCAGGGGCAGTTCCAGCATTTTTTGCTTTTTGAAATAACTAACTTCCTGGCATGGAGCTAACACCAAACATTTATATGTTTTACTTATGTTAAATAAGGATGCTATGCAAAAAATTGTGATGATTGGAGCTTGGGAACACAAAAAAGCCCTAAAATTTTGGCCACAACTACCCCAAATGACACAACATTTTTTTTACAATTTTCAACTAAAGTTATATTCATCAATAAATTTTAAATTGCATACAATAATCTTTTAGCATTCAGAAGTTATGACCATATAAAATTTGTAACCCCCTCAAGTTGAGGGGGATTTAAAATTCATATGGTCATTATTTTTGAATGGTGACAGATTATACAATCAAATTAAAAATTTATCGATAAATATAACTTTAATTCAAAATCGTAAAAATAAATATTGTGTCAACTTGTTGCTCTCACGTTTAGGGTCGTTGTGGCCAAAATTTTAGGGCTTTTTTGTTCCCAGACTCCAATCATCGCAATTTTTTGCAAAGCATCCTTATTTGACATAAGTATAAACATATAAATGTTTGGAGTTTGTTCTATGTCTGGAAGTTAGTTATCTCAAGTAACAAAAAAAGCTGGATCCGCCCCTGAACTCTGATACTCTAATAATAATTTGTCACTTATTTTTGCTAAATATCTATTTATTAAGCATGAATAAAAAAGGAATATAAAAAAAAAAAGTTAATACTTTAGATGTTTGGTTAAAAATGAACATTGGAGGTTTTAGAACATTTTAAAAAACTCCAGAAATTTCTAGAATATTCTTTAAAACTAACGATAACATAGATTTTTAAAAGCAATAATATTCTTTAACAAAACATTACAGTTTTGAGTGAATTATGTTCTGTCAATTAAAGGTGTTAAAAACTTTAGCTATTATCATAGTGATACAATTAACCAGAAAAACTACAATACCTAAATTTTATTATTATATTAACATTATTTTTCATTATTATATTAACATTATTATTATATTAACAATAAAATAATAATATTAATAGTATGTAAAATGTTACAAAAAATAGTTTTTGTACTATCTTATATAAAACTAAATTTGATGAGCTAAATGAATATTGTACCTAAAAGCTTCCAATGCCCTTTTTTGACAAAGAATTTCCATTTCATCAATATATTCATTTCCTCCATAATATCTTGCATGGACTTTTCCTTCTGAATACTTGTTAGTAAAGCAGGAACCAAGACATTCCATAACTGCACGACTAGTAAAATTTTCTGATGCAATCATTTCTAATCCACATCTTTGTCTGTGATCTTCCTTTTTAAGGATGGAAAATATTTCTGGATCATTGGTCTCTAGAGGCTCATTAAGATCACACATCTCCTTCAGCTATTTTTTATGTTTTATAATTTGGTTTATATATTACAATGATATAGATAGGTACTAAACATTTAATCATAAAACACAATTATTTTGGTAAATCTGCAGTTAAGTGGCCTAAAATAACTTTAACTTTTTTGCTTATTGTGTTGGCCCCAGTACATGACCATACATCAACCATTTTATAGCCTACTGCCACAAAGGAGTGTCTACGTTGACTGCAGGTTTGGCATGGGGCAACAATCTTTTTTCATTATTTCAATAATGAAAAAAAACAACAAAAAAAAACCTTCATTCGATGCAGCAGCACTCCTTTGCGCCAGCAGGCTATGAGATATGTATTTACTGAAGCTAATAAATATTTCTTTAAGTTTAAAAAGTCTCCACAAAAGAGATAATTCAAATAATATAAGCAAAGAAAATATATTTATTTTAGACCGCTTAACTGCAGATTTACCATTACTTTTTTATTCTTAACATGTTTTACTGTTACTCAATAACAGTAACAGTTACTGTTATGTTAATAAATATACTTATAGTATAAGTATATTTAGTATATTATATATGTATAAATTTATTTAACATACATATATATTATACATATAATATATGTATAAAATATATATTATATATATTACTATCAGTATATTTATGTACACATATACATTTTGTATTACACTTTATATACTTTATGTATTTATTTATTTTGATAAAGATAATTATAGCACTTTTAAGCCAACGCAATTCATTTGGTTATTCTTTACAATTACCAATTAAAAATATTTAATATGTAATTAAAACTCTAGTATAATAATAAAAATAGTTAAAAGACACTTTAGAGATATATTATTAAGCTAAGAGTTTTGTTACAAACCGATTAAAAATTAAATTACAACTATGACAAGTATGACAAGTATGACAAGTATTTTTTGGTATTTACATGGTAAATACAAAAAAACAAAACATAAAACAACAACAACAAACAAGTTATAAAAGCAATACTAAATATACTCTTATAAAATATAAGTATAGGCATGTATAACCATTACACATTTTGAAAATATGTTTTTATTTCTAGCGCAAAAAAAAAAGTAATAAATAACTGCATTTAGTAAATGCAGTAAATGCTTTACAATATTTCTTTACTTGGAGGACTAAATTCATATATTAAAAACGTTGTTCAAATGTATGTTTCTTTATTCGTATTAAAATAAGCCTGAAGGTAAAATTCTTAAAATCACAAAAAGGTAATCACAAAAAATTCATTGCTACCGCAAATATAAAACCGTATTTAATGACAACGAGCGCATGGCCCATGCTCTTGTTGTCATTAAATTACGATTTTATAATAGCGCTTTCGGACATTTTATAAAATAAGTACTTTAAGTACTTATTTTATAAAAGTTTACAGAGTTGTTAGTCCTTGGCCTTTTGGCCTTAAAAAAAAGACATATTTTCTTATTGATTTCGTTGAATTCTGTGCATAACCTTAGTCTATTTGATTTCATTGCCGCAGTACTTGCTAATTACTGTTTTGTTAGTAATTGGCCTTAACGTAAGGCTAAAACTGAAGTGTTTGGTTTAGAAAACGTTTGCGTCGGCCTTGACTTTCAAACTCTTAACCTTACCTTGACATTAAAACTATTGGCCTTGGCCTTGGCCTTGCAATTTTTGGCCTTGGTGTTGGCCTTGTAGCGTGTGGCCTCGGCCTTAGCCTTGCTACTTTTGGCCTTTTTAACAACTCTGCATGTTTATGTACATAATTAAGTCTGTGAATACAAGATACCGAAACGACATTCTAATTCTTTATCGTGAAGCGGACAGCAAGGTGAAACCAGAACCAAGTTTTTTTGGATTTTAACTAAGTGACAAAGACAACTGATCGTCCAGTAAAAAAAAATTCCATTTAATATGAATCAGACTTCTTCTTTAATTAAATTTTAAAATAATCATTCTAAACTGCTGAGTTAGCATAAAAATGCACAAAATTGAGTTGTTAAAGAAATTAATATATAGGTAAAGATGTTCATTGAGCAATCTACAAATAAAACAATAGAAACACATCAAAACTGAGCATTTTAAAACATAGTAGATATATTTTAAATAACACAGATTTCGATTATTTAAATTTTTATCTGAGATAAAAAGGAAAAATTGACAACCTGTTGCGATTGCTATGCGCGTTGCTAAAACAATTATTAACAAAAGATGACACTTTCATTACTTTAATCAGATTTTTAATATAAACTATAAATAAAAATCACTTTTATAAGTATAACAAGTTTTTCTAATGAAAACAAAAATTTTAAAAATTTTTTTTGCATTTTTTTTTACCATGGATCCATCTTAATGATAAAATATACATTAGAAAAATTCTTTTTTTTTTTTTGGTTTACATTTGTTAATCGTGGTACAGCTTTAAATAACCAATAATATAAATAATAGTATAAAATTGCAATGATAGAAAATATAACAAATATAAACAAGATATCTGAAAAAAGATCGCAAAGATATGTCGTCAGAACCTTAAATAAGCATTTAACAAAGATAAGAACTTTTACATAGTTGCTCGGTAAATAATCTGTGCCTAAAGAAAGATCAAGAAAATCTTCTTTTCAGAATTTTATAGAAGAGTAATCTAACATATAAATTAAAAAGTAAAAAGTATAAGAACAATAAATAAAATAAGTTGAAATAAACTTTTATAAACGTAAATATGTATATAAACAATAAAAAAAAGTAGACCAAAATATATTTTTAACTTTTACTACTAATAATAACTCAAATTATTATCTAATGAAAGAATGAGGTTTTACAGTTTTTTAAAAGGCAAAAAGTAATAGGTTCTTCAAAATTAAAATTCAGCAAAACAATTTTATTCCAAAGGTATGGTGCTCAATAGGTAATTTATTTATTTGTTTATTCTTTTTAACACCCAAATTACAGGTAAAAAAACAAATTGTATAAAACTAATAGTTTTTACTTTCAGTGTAAAAAATTTAAATTTTTCTTGGGATGTTTTCTTCCATCAACATAGTAAATACCAGTCTTTGTTCTCTGATATTCCAGAATTCAAAAGAATGGTTCAAAATTGCCGCTATATCTTCTCCTACGTCATCTTAGCAACGTTTTACCGTTATTTTTTTTCCCTCTATCAAACACTGCACGAAGTTTAGCTCAAGTTGATTGCAAATTTTTATTACTTCGTTGATAAATAGGTTATCTTTAGTAACATTAGATATATGAGCCAAAGTTAGGGAAAAACAAGTTGGATTGTTCAGTAGTCTGATAAACAGATTTAATTTGTTTCAAATGAGGATGGTAGATATGTCATCAATTTTAAAGAAGGGATGCAGGTAGTTTTTGCTGAACTTCGATATACTTAATAGGAATTTTAATGCTGACCTTCCAATAGCGTCTAGTTTATTAAGAAGTGAATTATTATAACAACAAATTTCTAACCCGTATGATAAATTCGGTACAGCCAGTGATTTGAACAAGTGTACTATGGTTAATGGTTGACAAAAACGAATGACGCAGAATTGATTAAAAAAAACGAATAATGCAGAATTGATTAAAGTTTGTTTGACAAAAAGGTTCATTTAAAAAGTTATTATTTCTCAAAATATATTTACTGATTGGTTTAAAAGAGAAAAGATCTTTGAAGACAGCTAGGGATAAGTTATTTATCCACATATATACAAAACAAAAAATATTAAATACATTTAACTTGCATATATTCAGAACTCTCATTTCAATAAAATAATGCTTCGAATGAGCGAAGCGATTTGCAAAATTGATTATCCGGATTGCGCGTTTCTGACATTAGCAACTGTTGCTGGAAGCATCATAACAATAGTTACACAACAAATACTTCTGAAAACTTATTTTTCAAACAACCATAGTTATTTCAAATTAAATTAAAAAGTTGTAATTATTATAAGTTAAAATTTATTATAAATCTTCATAAAATATTGAAATTTACTATAATAAACTATAAACTTACATAAACAAGGTTAGGTGTCACATCTTGATTGAATTTTTGAAATAAAATGAATAAGGGCAACTTTGAAGATAACGGGTTATGCATAAGTCTTCGAACTTTTTTTTATAGAGTCGTAAAAAAATATTGTTAGTTAGATAAAAAAATGAAACTATATGGTAATAAAGAACATTCATTCTAGTATTTATTAATATATTTAACATATTGAATAGACGCCTCTATCAGCGATTTTTCTAAGTTTTGTTTTAACACTCATCATTAGTCTTTGTTACAGATCTGGATCATTTTCTTTTATTTCATTAAATTTGCTCTTTATTCTTTGAACTAGTTGATATATGCTACGTGTTCTCTAACCATCACTGTATACCATCTGACTTAAAATAGCCCAAAATGTTTCAAATGGTCTAGCCTGTGGAACATTTGGCGGATTAGTGCATTTTTGTACAAATTCTATGGAATTATCAATAAACCAATTTTCTGTTTTATTAGCATATTGAGCAGTTGCAAGATCTGGCCAAAACACAAAATTATTATCTTTATGATGTTCTCTAACAAATGGTATAAGTCTTTTCTTCATACATTCTTTCACATATATATTGGATGTTATTGAGTTCTTTGGTCTATGTATATAAGGTTCACAAAATCCATTTGAAGAAATGCAAATCCAATACCTTTTCTTTAAATTTTTTTCAAACCAATACCTTTTCTTTAAATTTTTTTTTCAACTTATATTTTACATTATTAGGGGCTAACAATTTATTATTTGTATAATATATATCATTCCCAGATATATTTGAGTTTTGATAGGTTAAAATATTTTTCGTCATCCATGATTATATCATACAAAGGTGCTTTTTGTTTTTTGTAGCATTTAATATCTGTTTTGAAATTAATAGTTCTTGAAATTTTGCTTTGGTTCACCTTAAAATATGAAGCTAAATACTTTTGACTAATACCAGTTGAATTATTTAGCATTTTAGTCAATCGTTTGACTTTTTTCTTATCCATTTTTGAAGGACAACCTGATTTAACCAAATCATTATACACACCATACTTCTCATACCTTGCAAAAATACTA